GATAAACAAAAGTCCAGTAAATAAACTGATAGGAAATGGCACTGTCTTGTGTGTTCCTTTCCAAGAGTAGGGAGGCTGGGTATCACACTGTTCTTTTAAGTGAATGTTGCCTGTTAGTGTATTTACTGGGCTTTTGATTCTCTATTACATCCTTAAATTAATAGCAAAGTAATGTTTATCCAATTGAATTGAGCCTGTAGCTTAAATATTTTTATTAAATAATAGCTATTGAATGGTACAAATATAGAAAATGAGGAGTCACTAGAAAGAATGCTAGCTGCAGCTTGTAATGTGAGCATTTGAAAATCAGTTCAAGACATTACTTCTACCTTCTTACCTCTTTTCCCCACTAGATCCATTTTTTCCTGAGAAAATAAAATGTGGTATTATCATATGAATTCTGGAAGGTTCTTTAAATCACTCTGAAACAAAATTGGGATTTAAAGGAAATAATGCAGTTAATAAATTCTATGCACACAAGTTAGTTTTGCAGAATACATAGGAGAATTTTGTCAGAATACATAAGAGAATATTCCTTTAAGTCATGCATCCACATTCTTAACTATATTATTGTATGTATATGTAAATCATTTCTCCAAGCCAAAATGCTATCCTGGGACTTCCACAAAGAAGTTATATATAGATTTATAGCCCTGGCCCATTTTATGTGTATTTGTTACCAAGTAAAAGTCACGTATACCACATAAAATAGCCCTCAACAATTATAATTTCTTGGCAGTTGAGCCTAGTTGAATAAGTAAAAACTTAAAAATGCAAGATAGTTGAACCAAATGTATGGCAACTTATCTTTTAAACACTAACACTTTCTGTAACCTATTGTAATAATGCAAGTTATTCTGATTCTCCACATTGATAATTTATCATTAGATAAACCATAGAGTGTCAGGAAATTAGGACTGAAGTACTTTTTATCACTCCAAAGGACATGCACTCATGTTTATTTTTTCGATGGGAACAGATTGATGCTTGGAGCAAAACTTGTATTACATATCAAAGCATAACAAATTTTAAAATTGAATTAACTATATGAATATGCAAGCATTTTCCTAATTTGCCCCTCGATGTTTCTTATTTTAAAAGTTCAAGATATACGTTTTTGGCTTATATTAATTTTGCTCTGCTCAACTTTTTTTTTCAGCGCTGGGAATCAAACTTAGGGTCTTACCCTTGCAAAGCCAGCGCTCTTCCACTGAGCTTTCCTACTCCTTGCTTCTTTGATGAAGGGTCTTACTATGCAGCCCACATTTGGCCTCACACTTATGCCTTCTGCCTCAGCCTGCCAAGTCCTAGGATTACAGATACCTGCCATAATGCCAAGTTGCTATTCATTTTGTTTATACATTCATTTGTGTGTATGCATATTCTCTCTTAGGACTAACAGGACAGCTCAGTGGGTAAAGGTGCAAATCTTAGGAGCCATGTAGTGAAATGAGACAGCTCCCACAACTTGTCTTCTGACCTCTACATGTATGCCCACAAACATTAAATAACTGAATATATAAAAATGCAATAAATAAAACCATTTTTCATTTTACCACTTATGTATTGCTTTAAAAATAGATGTAATGTATGACTGCTTGACTATGGTAATTGAAACATGCAGTTAAGATAAATTAATTTTTAATTGCTTAATTATCTATTATAGTAACAAAATGCAGTCTATCATTCTTCTAAAATCCCCACCCTTTTTTCTTCTCTCTCCCTTTTAATTCCTAGATCATTCTTTTTCTCATAGAGCTTTAACTGCTATGTATATGTGTCTTCCACATTTCTATGCCGAGCCAGAATCTATAAACTGAATTCCAAGTCCTCATTTCTGGCTGCACAGTAGACACTTCCATTTGGATGTCTCACAGACCTTCCATCATTATTATATCAAAGCCAAACTCTTGAACTTCACCCAGCCTTCTCTTCCTTTAGCATCTCAATCAACAGCTTCTCCATCCTCATTTCCCAAGGCACAAACGTTGAAACCATCTTTTCTCTTTCTGCCTCTCATACTCTTCCTCTCCTGGCAATAAATTAACTTGCATTGCCACCCGAGTCTTCACTGTGTTCAAGACCTAAATATTTGTCAGCATCTTGCTGTCCTGGTTCAGCAACACAGTTACTGGTTGGAATGCATCAATTGCCCCATTAGTGTTCCTTGATTCAGCCCTCGCTTTCCTTTTGATATACTCTTCACTGACAAGTCGAAGTGCTAACAGTTGTGTTAGTCATCAGCTCAAGGTCTCTAATGGCTCCCCACTCACTCTGAACAAGTGCAGACGTCTGAATCATGATTCACAGGATGCGACAACATCTGGCCCGGCTACCTGCTTCCCTCTTACCACCCACTTCTTCCTCACTCTTGCAGTCTTGCTAGACTCTCACTGTTCCAGACTCAAGGATTTTAACATTTTTTTGTCTCCTGCCTTGTGTGATATTCTCCAGCTTTGATTTTTTGAAGATTTCATTTTCTCATGAAATGATCATCCCATTTAATATTGCACCTCTTTCCCCATCACTTGTCACTGTGTTTGCTGTTCTCTACAGGCCTCATGTTATGCTTTCCTTGTGTAGTTTTTAAATGCCCATCTTCCTTGGTTTGTTACCAGATCCACAAATACAAGGATTTTCATCTGTTTGGTTTGTAGCTGAATCCCTAAATTCCTGGTATTCTGTAAGAACTGAACAAATACCAATGCAATAAATGAAAAGAATGGTCCTGGGAGAATGCCAGAGACAGAAACAGTGGTGATGAAATAAAGCATATCTAAACCACTTCTGGAGGGAACTATTTATTAAGGAAAGCAAGCAAGATGTGGCTTCAGCTAGGGGTGGCATATAATGAATTTTGAGTGAATATCTTCCAACCATGCTGACAATTTGGATGTACATTTTAAGGAAATAGGTTTCAAGTTATTGAGCTACCACATGAAAGGCCCATCAAGTGTATATATGCCTTTTGCTCTAGCAACCCAAATAAGTTTAAGGAATTTGAGGGTTCAGATGACTGGATAGATGCAAGTTGAGTGTGACTTTGGGTATAGCTTAATCCAGAACTCAAATGCTATCAAGATCTACCAATTATACCCCTGCCATTATTTGTTCGAGTAGCAGCACAAAGCTCAGGCTAAATGTGGTTGTGGGAGCTGTCTCTGGTCTCTCTCGGAAGCCTTTCAGAGAGTACCATGGCTTTGTGTCAACTCTTGCAGAGCGACTTGCCTATTTCTCAGGCAGATGTGCAGCTCAGGAAATAGAATGATTGGTCAACTTAAATTAAGATACATCTCACCCTTGAGCCTAGGTTTAGAGAGTAGCTGGTTCTCCAGAGAGGAGTTAGGATAGAACTTTTCTAAGAAGAGGGGAATGGAGGGTGCTAATGGCTAACAGCTGAGCACTACAAAGGGGTAATGAAGGTTTGAACTTCAGACCCTGCAGTTGGAATGGAAGAGAAGGGAAGTAGCAAACAGAGGAAGTCAAGCTGACCTCCTGCCGAGGACTGGGAGTGGACAGGACATAGGCTTGCTTTCACCTTGGAGATTTTGAGCTATGTGGCTAGAATTTGGCAATGCCATTCATGAAGATTCAGGATGAATTAGGAGAAGCAGATTTACAAGAGAAGGAAGGCGTTCTCTTGCTTTCTCATTGCCGGTTTTGTTAATAAGATTGTTTCCAGCTTCTCAAACTCAAGAACAATTGAATACTGCAAGAGGCAGAAGGCAAATTCTTCTACCAACCACTTATTCTCAGAAGACTTGTCTCTGTGGTTTTGAAAACTCTTCTCTTGGAACTCACGTGTGAGAAAATTTATTTTCTCCCAGTAGTCTGCATTGCTTTTGCTTGAGCTAGCAGGGTCTATGGAATAGAAAACTGTCCGTTAGAGCTGGGTTCAATCTTCTCCCAGAGAACATTTCTGCATGACTGACTTAAGCTCTCTTTGAATGCATTATGGATTAGACTGGGAGAAGTGTAGTACTCATGTGTAATGTGCCCTTGTTATTGTTCATGGAATTGTGAAACAAGAAAAAATTAATAGGTCTTGGACATAAGAAATGAAGGACAGACATTGAATCATCATAGCCTGTGCAGAAAAGTATCAGCATTGTTTTGGTATTTTTGTTTGTTTGTTTTGGTTTTGGTTTTGCTTTTTTGGAATGTTTATCATTGACCAGGTATTGTTACAAATTCTGAACACAAAATGAGTCATTTAAGCTGGACAGTGGGGGCACATGCATTTAATCGCAGCACTCGGTAGGCAGAGGGAGGTGGATCTCTGTCAGTTGAGAGAGCAGCCTGGTCTACAAAGAAAGCTTCAGGACAGCCAGGGCTGTTACAGAAAGAAACCTTGTAAAGAAAGAAAGAAGAAAGGAAGGAAGGAAGGAAGGAAGGAAAAAAGAAAACAGAAACAGAAAAATGAGTCATTTATACTGTTATTTCAATGTACAGATGGGGAAACTGAGACCAACACATCCTTTTTAATGTATCATGTTTAAAGTCCCAAAACTAAAATGGTGGAGCTAGGATTTAAGAAGCATGGCTCAAGGACATAAGCACTTAAATCAGTTTATTGTATGCCCAGAACATCATAATTAATGCCCATTCTCTCAGCATAGTTCAAATATAGTCTCTAGAAAGTATCCTCATTTGGATATAAATTTTGAACATTATTCCTCTTACCCATGATTGTTTGCTTACTCAAAACCAGGAAAAAAAATCTAGTCTGTGCAACAGAGGCATCCAAATTACTAGGCAGGATTTTCAGACATATGACAAATTGAATTGAATGTGATTCTTTGATAATCTTCTAGTTTCTCCTGAGAATTAAACATGCTATATGTGTTGGTATACGTTTGGTTTGAACTAATAGGTTAGTTTGCTTTCTTAAGGATCCAAAGGCTTGGTATATGCTGACATAAAGTGGCTGAGGTCATGTTTTGCGTCTTTGATGGGGCGGGAGAAGGTTTTGCTTAGGCCTCAACCACTGGCTTTTGCAGGTTTCCCCGGATCTCCAGAACGAAGTGCTGATCAGCCTTCTGGAGACAGATCCAGATGTCGTGGACTATCTGCTCAGAAGAAAGGCTTCCCAATCCTCGTGAGTATGCCTGTTTTTCGGCTCCTAGAGTCACACTGGTAATTAATTTTTCTCTTTAGCTTCATTTCTAAAGAATTTGTGTGGTGATTATCGTTGCATACATAGTGACCCATGTGGCATTTTGACAACTTTTTTTTTGTAATCCTGATCGATCCACGCAAGTAGAAATTATTTTCGTCTTACTGACTTCCCAAAATCCAAGCCATTTCTCCAGACTTTTCTTGTTTGTTTTCAACTTTCTCTAGAACCTTCAGGAAGTTCTGACTCTGTTCACAGGGAAAAAGTGCTAAAGTACTGGCAAGAAGCTCAGAGGAGTAAAATGTGGATAAGTGAGTCTAGGCATGTTAACCTGTAGACCATAGGCCACATGTACCTCACAATATCTAAGAATTCAGCCCAACAAAAAAATCACAAACTTCATAAAAAATGTTATAAACATTTTTCTTTATAACTCAATTGTACAGTTCTTGATCACATCCTTGACAATATTGTGTCACAATGTTAAAAGTCTAAGCATGTCCGTTAAGAGTCATGGTCAACACTTAATGCCCTGGAGCCTGCACTGGGGTGAGGGCAAGGAGAGCATCTTCCTTGTGCAAATTTGCAGAAGGGAGCAATCCATCTCTAAACCACAAGAGCAACCTTTGCTGAGACCTAAGTGCCCATTTGCAATGAGAAGTGTGTACTTTGCCAGCTCTTTCATTATATACATCTTGTATTGTCTCGAAGAAAATGCATACTAGCCAAGTTTGCAGTGAGGCACATGCAAGGCATGCTTTCAGTTATGACTTGCCACTATTTTGCCCTAAAAGGAGGGCAGAATAGTTTGTTGTTCAGATTTTATGTTTAGTCCCAGCACCTGCTACAGAGGCAGAGTGCTTGATGGTGCTATAACATTTGGAAAAGCCAGGTAAAGGAATGACATTGCCACATTAGCCAGGAGCACATGGCCACACAAACACCCAACCTTAAATTTAGGACAGGAATAGTTGATGCTGTTCTCTCTCAAGAGTATCATTGTGCTATGCTTTCAAGACTTAAGTCTAGGATGCATTCGTCCATGTTCTAATGACTTCAAAAGTGAGATTAATCCTATAACCAATGACATGCCTAAGCTTAATTCATGGCACTTTTTTCTTTTTCAGCCATAGATTTTTAAAAAACAGGGCTTATTTGGATGTAACTTAGAAACAAGACATGTTCAGTTATCTCCATAGACTAGTAACAAATGTGGTTGCTTTTCATTTTAAATTATTTCAGGTGATTTTAAAAGTATACTATTTAGGGAAATTTAATGAAAAGGAATTCCAAATTGTTTAATGCTCTTCTTTCCAGGCTAATGCATTAAGACCCTTACTGAATTCAGTTTCCTTCCCATTTCAGTAGTCCAGGGAAGGTCTTATAATCAGATCACCCTTTCAATGCACGTTAAGAAAAGACTATTTGTGTGCCAATCAATATCAAGGCAATTTCTGGTTCAAGTAAGATGCTTTGCTTGGATTCAATTCCAAGAAACTTAAGTAAATGCAAATACATAAAAAATACAAATGGACCTGCATTTCATGGTCTTGCTTTTATATCAGGGAATTGGAACTGCACTTATTTTTTCCCCTAGCATTCTAACTCTCATCAAGGTATAAATTCACATTTTCCCCAAACAGTCATATGCTATGAGAATTCGTATAATTGTACTTGTGTCTCTCCTGTGGGCAAGAAACACAGTGATGTTTCTATTTATAAATTCCTCCTTACTCTTTGTTTATAACATTTTGTTGCTGTATGGTAGGAAATATAGAAAACATATACCCCCCCAAAAAACTATGAAATTTTGACTGTCCAAATGTCTTATTTTGTGTGGCATTATTTAGATTGGTACATTTTATTCTTGAAAGAATAATTAGCAGGAATGCAATGCCATTTGCAAGCATGCTTCTGGTATATAAATGCCAAGGTAAGAACAGAACCTTGCTTTCTCTCCTCCTAGGAAGGACAAAGCGCACGTATCAAGCCCACGCCTAGCTGTGCAATTGTTCTAGCCTCTTTTGTTGCTTATCCTTGTATGAATGACTCTTTAGGGAAGTGAATAGAAGGAAGATTAGTTTTGTTTTTCTTTTTGTTTCTTTTCTGCTAGGTACAGGCAAAGAACAGTCCAAAAGGTCGCTAGTAATTCCATGAAGTAAACTATAGATATTTATGAAAAAAAAGCCTTCTGGGGCTTGATCTGTAGGCAGTCACTCTGGGCCATAAACATGTTTTCCTGAACTCCTGAAGTATATGGAGCTCTTCAAATCTTGGGAAGGTGCTTCTTCTGAGTCAGCAGGATTGGGAGATGGGCTGAGATTTCTATTTCCGACAAGCTCCCTGTAGTATTGTTGCTACTGGTCCTTGATCCACAATTGGAGTAAGAAAGCTTAAAAAAAAACCAAAACATTTTCTTAACTTTATGTGCATTCTGACCTGATGGCAGAGGTGTGTTACTCAGTGTACAGCAGAATGCAAAATGACAGGTAGTAGACATGGTCTCAGACTCACCTGCCCAGTACAAATCCCTGGGGATTGTAAAGAAGAGCAGTGAGTCTCCCCATCACCGTGGTGCCTATTCATTTATTCTGGCTTGCAGTCCAGACATCGGGATTTGCAAAGCTCTCCACATGATTCTAATAAGCAACCCAAACTCCAAAGGACTGACTCAGATCTACCACTTGGATTCTCTATATTTAAAATCCCATGGGGACTTGGGTGGGGTGAGTTGTGACCTTTTACATGTGTCGTTGTGTTGATAAAGGAGCAGAACAAATGTTCTGGCTTATAAATCCATGGAGTTTGTAGAAAGGAGGGAGATGTCATTTTCAGTCTCATAATGGCTTCTGGGGGGAAGGAAGACTTGCAGTGCACTTGGAAGCTGAGTAAAGATGTAACTGAGTCTGGGTGGTTCAGATAGCTAGTCCTGGATGTGGTCAATACAGCAAAGTTACCATCTCTTTGGGGACAGGATAATGAAGTTAGGTAGATGTCCTAAAATAGCAGGGTGGAGTAAGGTGAGGTGACATTTAAATCAGAAAGTAGTGATAAAGGAATACAGTGACAAAATAACCCTGTAATTATAGATTATAGAGATTGTACATTACAGTACCCCAAAATGACAGATGGTGCCGGCTACAGTGGCACCCATATCAATTAACCATCAATCAGTTGTGTCTGTTTAATTTATGACACCGCTTTCTAGCTTCAAGTTGAGATCAAGATCTCCTATGTCCAAATTCACCCCTATTGCTATTTTTTTATGCCATGGAGTATGCTCATCGATGACTCTCTGACTCGGCTTCCTCATATGTTGACTGTAGATTTAGCAGTTACTATTGTGTTCCTGTGAAGTTCACCAAATACCTCATTTACAACTACTTACCTGAGACTTGTTGTATATGAAGCATTGTGACTGTGTCCCTTGACATCTATGAGACAGTAGATGGCCACAAAATATAGTCCATAAGAACGAGCTATCATCGGGTCTAAAAGCAGTGCCCCTTCAGCCCTGGAGATTTTCTTTTGATTTTGATTTGATTTTCTTTCCCCTGAAACCTCCATTCCTCAGTTCACATACCTAAGTAAAGCTTTAGATTCCTGTGAGGCCAAGTGGAAATGCCACAAGATTTAATTTGGAGGGGAAACGAAATAAATTTTCTAAAGAGTGTAAAACCCAGAATGAGAAAATATGTATTATTATTTCTGTTTTGAAAGAACAAACATTTCATGATACTTGGGAACTTGGTGTTTGTTTTGATTTGTGTTTTTTCCTTCTGTGTGCAACAACAGAGTTGGGTGAGTGCAGAGAGAATTCATTATCTTTTCATGTGCTTGTCCACTTTAGGGTTTAGCCTTCACCAAAGGAGCATGCCAAAGGGGGATTAGAAGAGATTTTCAGTACCAAAGTTGCCAGGCTTTCCAGTTTTGAATAGCATGTCTTGCTAGAATTATGTGCTCTTTTCTTCAGAAGTCCTTAAAAGAGACCAGCCTCTCTGATTCAGGAATGTGACAATATAGGGGAAGATGGCAGAAAGCTGATCTAAAAGGACAATGTAGGTTGAATGAGGACCTCTACAAAATAAAGGTGTCATAGCAGGGTCAGGGCTAGTGTGAGGTAAAGGAGATACCTAGGCACAAAATTTAAGGAAATAAGAACTCAGTCGTGAATACTATATTGTAATGTAATAGTTTACAAAATCACATTTGATTCCCTGCCTCCCCCAGAAAATGAAAAGGCAGAAAACAAATATTTTCTAAAGATGAGTTGTCATACATAGCCACTGAAGATGCCAAGTTGATAGCAAAATGTGTGGGCCTGGCCTTAATAGACGCAGCCCATCAATCATGTTTCACATCCTCCCCTGTCTTTGTCTCTTTTTAATTTACTATTACTAAGTGTGACAGTTGAAAAAAGTGACAATCTGAAATTATTTTTAGTTAAATTAACCTGAAACTAGATAATGATAACATTGTTTGTTATAAATGATGCATTTAATCTTAATCCAGTGTTAAGGGTTCCGATACACCTATTTTTCATATTTTCAGTAGTATCTTTACTTCTCTAACATTCTAAGGGGAGAAATTATCCTTACATAAAATTATTTAAATCAAAGTGCACAGTTTTCTTTTTCACAAAGCTACTTCAGACCCCTGACTCTCTGCGTAAGGAATGCTTGGTAGAACTGAGCATAAATCAGTGTGAACATGATCTGTAAATCAACATACAGTTCAGGAGAGAGAGAGAGCCCAGTAGAGCTCAGGATTATCTGTGGCATGGAAATTAATTCTTGTAATAGTTCTTGTCATTTTAAAATACAGCCTTCAGAAAACCTAAGGAGCCAGACATGTAGTCTCAGTACTCATGAGGATCAGGAACATCAAGGCCAGTCCTGCCTTGATAGTAAGTTTGAGGCCACCACAAATTACATGGGACCTTGTCTCAACGTAATAAGCAAACAAAAAAGCACAGTAAAGAC